TAGTAGAGCAAAAAGGAATCTTGGGGATGTTCTAGGATAGTGGTTTTCCAAAGTGTAAGATGGGTACCAGAGGGGGTGGTACATGGGACATTACATTCAAAATGCAATAAATGCCATAGTGAGGAAGTCAGTTTCTTTTCAAAGCTCTTGTAAGTAATCCTGGTAACTCAGTTCTATGTTGCTAACAGTTGCTCATCTTATCTATCAAAGAAAGAGCAGGTCTCAGAATCACAGATTTTAAAGACAATATTTAGCAAAGTTGTAAGCCTATGTTTATTTTTCATTGTAATTATTTTCATAGATAATTTCTAGCTATGGCAAATGATGCTGTTTCCATGCTAGTAGCCATGTAGAGTTTTATTTTGAAAATAAGTGTATTTGGATTTTAAGTAAGCCTATTTAAATAAACTATTATTATAAAACATAGTTCAGTGGCATATACATGTGGTAAAAATCATGAAGATGTTATAGGAAATGCAGACTTTGGGGGCACAGATCTGGAGATTCTAGACCAAAACTCACATGGTACAATTGAAGAAATGCACACCTAGAGAGATGCAGTTAAGTGTCCTTGACCTACAAGTTTCCTGAATTGCTGAAACATGATCATCTACCTCTTGAAACATGCCATGATCTTCCCACCAGCAGGTCAATTTCCATTGTTGTTCTCCTTGTTTTTCCTGGTGGGGCATCAGATATCTCTGACTAGTAAATACAAATTAGAACTAAAGAAACTAGAAATTGTTTCCTTCCAGAGCAGTCGTTTTTATGAAATTACTTTAGTTTATTTAGATATTTCCACGCATAGCTGTCAGCAAATTCAAGTATAAAGTGTAGTTGTTACAATAAAAAGGCCATTTGTTGGTGGGAGAGCAGGTGGACTCTAAAAAATTTAACAAATTAAACAGTTTTCCAACACTAGTTCTTGAAAGCATAACTATCAGAACAATCTTTCTTTTAACTTGTGATTCAACACTTACATACATATAACACCTAGTGCTCATCAATAACAAGTGTCCTCCTTAACACCCATCACCCATTTATCCCATCCCCCACTCACCTCCCTCCATCAACCCTCAGCTTGTCAGAACAATCTTTTTAAAGGGTTTTGATGTAACTCACCAAGTATGTATCTGGCAATTTATTGCTTTTAGTAGCTAGAGGTGATAATGTGGACTCTTTCCGACATAACATGCCTGTATTTTTCATTCAGCTACAGGAGACCCACAAGATACCCCAGTGTTCTGCTCTATTGTAAAGGACATGGTGTTATTTATTAACCGATGTACCTCCTGTGGTTGCTATTTAGGGCTGTCAGATGTACCATCTTCTGGTGTATATGAGTCCAACACTGAATTTCATAAAACAAGATTTATTTTTTGTTAGTACTGGGTTCCCCCAGTACAGTACTTCTGGAAAATGAATGGTTTTAATCTGTTATTTATTTTTATTTGATCTGCAGAGATGCCACAAAAATTCACCAGCCCACTAACATCAGCAGTAGCATGGTTAGGAAAAGAATGGGGCAATCCTGGGCAAGGTAAGCATCTATCATTAGCCTTTTGTTATGCTTTCACAATCTACTTCCATAGAGGCAACCACTACCTTTGGGCATCTGATTCCCAGGCTCTTTCAGTCCCTTCTCCTATTTTGCCCCTTCGCCCCAGAGGTGCTGATGTACAGCGAGAGGCGCTATCGTGCATGGGCTCTACAGCCAGTTTACCTACGTTTGAATCCGTGTCTCTTCCTTTCTTTGGTATCTATGGAATAAAAGTAAAACTTGTCCAGGGATGTTCATAATCTGGCCTCAGCCTGCCTTTCCAAGCCCTCTGCTACTTTTCCTTAAATAGAACTTTCCATTTCAGCCAAAATAATCTACTGTGATTTCCTTCCTGCACCTACACAATGCATTGGTTTCTTTTCTAACACTGTATTGTTAGTTTTCTCCTTCTCTTTGTAGAAGTGTTAGAAATTTCATTAAAATTCCCCATAGAATTTACAAAATTCCATACAGTGAGACATCCTCATGAGGGAAACCATGTAGACCTGATCTCAACAAGGTGGAGGTACTGACTGAAGGATTTACGGCTTTCTGGAGAATCCACAAACAACTAAAATGGGTTTATTTGATACTACCAAGCCAACTCAAGACAGAATAGCAACTAATTAGTTCACCGCCAAAAACGTGCAAACAAGATTTACTTTTTCTAGACTGCCAGCCTTTTCAGCCCACTTACAAATCCTTTCTCCCCTTTGTTCCTTAATTCTGTCAAGGATTCCCTCTTGTGACAGTAATTTATGTAAAAATAACTGAAGGCCCAGTTTTTAAAATAGGCCCAGAAACAATTTTGTTTACATTTACAAATGTTTTATTGACTCATGATTAAAGTTGTTGGAAAAATAAATCCATTTTGTTTTTATATTAAAGAACCCAACTGTTCATTTTATGGAATTTATGTATAAGTACTCTTGCCATTGGTGAGTAGCAAAGCACTTTTATATTAATCCATTTCCTTCTGTGATGTCCTAATCCACAGCAGGCTACCATTTTTCCAGTGATACAATTCACTTCTGACTCAAAGTCACTTGCATATAAATGATTCAACCAGTATCTATTTATATGGATTTCAGTGCTAGTGAGCTACACGTTTCTGCCACGTAAGATGGAGATTTTCCCAAAGATTTCTACTAATTTAGATGGTAACCTTCAATGGGTCAGTATCTAGAACTACAGGTCCATATACCTAAAAAATAAGAAATACATTATTTCAGAAGGATCACCAACCAAAATCCTTATTCTTTCAGATTTCTGGCTTCCCAAGTTATCTGCCTGATCCCTGGGTGGGTTATTCTCAGCTCAGTTGTGAGTGGAACTGAACACAGAACCTCTTTACCAATGAGGAGTTAAGGCAGCCCATCAAGTTCTTTAAAAACAAAACTTCCAGCCTATTTCATCTTCCCAAATTACGTAGTCTACAGGGGTTACTAAGCCAAGTGTTAACTATAATGTTTTGTCTATAAGCACTTTATATTTATTCTTATATATTAGTTTGCTATTGTTGTTATAACGAAGAACCACAGACTGGTTGGCTTAGTCAAATCAACAGCTTTATTTTTTCACGTTTCTGGAGGTCAGAAGTCCAAGATCAATGTTTTTTGAGGTTTTCTTCTGAGCCCTCTCTCCTTGGCTTGCAGACGGCTGCCCTGGGCTCCTTCAGTCTTTCCTCCATGCTTGTGCATCCTTCAGGTCTGCGTGTCCTAATTTCCTCTTATATGGATAGCAGTCAGTTTGGATTAGGACTCACTCTAAAGGACTCATTTTAATTTAATCACCTTTTTAAAGGCTCTCCAAATATACTCACATTCCAAAGTACTGGAGTTAGGGCTTCAACATACGGATTTTGGGAAAAGAGAATCAGCCCCTTAACAGTTTCCTAACAAAAGAGAGCCAAACCGGACGCCTGGGTGGCTCAGCTGGTTAAGCGTCTACCTTTGGCTCAGGTCATGATCCCAGGGTCCTGGGATTGAGCCCCGCATTGGGCTCCTTGCTCAGTGGAAAGTCTGTTTCTCCCTCTACCCCTCCCCACCATCTGTGCTCTCTCTCTGCTCTGTCTCACTCTCTCAAATAAATAAAATCTTAAAAAAAAAAAAAAAAAGCCAAACTATCATTTACGATGTCTTAAAAGATTTTGGCTCTATCTTTGGGAAAGGTGTTAAATTAGCTTCGTCAGTGTATGAATGAAACTCCTATAGATCACATGAGGTAAAAGAGTCCACATGCAAAGTTTGCCTGGAAATCAGACATTTGTTCATGGGCACCTAGTTTGCTCTATCCTAGTTTTATGCATAATTCTTAAATAGTCCTTCACTCTTGACCCAATGGCATGTGTGTGCAAAAATAAACATTTATTGTGTTTCAGGTCTTGGACAAAGTATTTTCCACACACAGTCTGTTTAGTAGGGATGAATTTCCCCAACTTCCAGAGAAGGACACTGGATCTCAGTAGTAACCTGCCCCAAATTGTTGAGCCAGAACCAGAGCCCAGCTACTCAGCAGTGTGGTCTCCTGTGTTTTTCTCTGGTGAGACCAGGCGAACTGCAATTCCACTTCTGGGAACATACCAAAAGGTATCAAAAGCAGGCACTTGAACGGATATTTATATACCAATATTAAAAGCAGCATTATTCACAATAGCCAAAAGACAGAAAGAACCCAAATATTCATTGGGTGAATGGATCAACGTGGTAAATACATGCTATGGAATATTATTCAGCTCTAAAAAGGAATAAAATTCTGATACATGTTATAATATGGATGAATCCTGAAGACATGTTAAGTGAAAAAAGGCACTAAAGGACAAATACTGTATGATTCTACTTATATGAGTTACCTAGAACAGTAAAATTCATAGAAACAAAGGAGAAAAATGTTTACCTAGAAAAATGGGCTGAAGGAAGAGAGTGGGGAGTCACTGTTTATTGGATGATGAAAAAGTTCTAGATAGTAGTGATGGCAGCACAACAGTGTGAATGTTCTTATTGTTACTGATCTGTACGACTTAAAAACGGTTAAAATGGTAAATTTTATGTTGTGTCTATTTTACAATAAAAAATGTGGCTAGTGTGAGGAATTGAATTTTTAAGTGTAATTAATTTAAATATGTTTAAAAACCAATATTTGATTCAGTTATTAGAAAACGTTTAAATATGCTTGAAACATGTATGAAGTTTTGTAATCTCCCACTATGTAAAGAATCTCTTACTTGAAGTAAAGAAAAATAAAATCTCACACATATTTGAAATGCCAACTTTGTTTTCAAGCCTGGGGCAACGTTAATACAGCTATCTCCTTTCACTATCAGGAGAAAACTATCACATTTTACACCTAAGCCTAATTTTACATTGTAAATTATATAGCCTTTAAATATCTTCATTCTAGATACCTGCAGAAACACAAGTTGTGTTCACAAAGCATATATTAAATCAAAAGTACATGCCAATACCACCAAAATGGTTTTATTTTTTGTCACTGACAACATGCATAACACAGCCAACTGTATCACTAGTTTGTTTTGATTTTGTTAAACAGTACCGAAGTATGCATTAAAAATATGTTTACATTTAAATTTAACACTTAAAGAAGTTCTCTTTAAGGCGTTAAACATAACGCCTTCTCAATATATTTTCCTGCTTTGTATCAAACATAAATAACTTAATCTATAAAATCATAAATAAAACTATTAACTCTTGTGGCCTAAGAGTATATACCAACTTTGGAGCTTGACAAAAATGTTGTCTTTATGATTTTATGGGTAACAACATGCAGGACTTGCAGTGATTACTATCAAATAAATGACTTATCACAAGTCGTTATTGTCTCCCAACCGAGTCTGCCAATAATACACCTTCCAGTGTCCTTGGTAAAGATGCTAGGTGCTTACGAAGTCAAAATAATCAAGACTAGATTTTACACAGAAGGTTGTCACTTAATTACTAAGCCTTACTTTGAAGAACAAAAATGCTGCTAAAGAGTAAATACTTGTATTATCATTTAAATGGAAGCTAATAAAATCATATTAAAATCCTATCACTCTTGGGAAAAATATTCCATTCAGATTTTGCTACAGGAACGGAATTAACACTATCCTACGTTTTCTAAAATTTAGTTTGAACCATCACTTTGATTAGTTAAAACTTTCAGGGAAAAAATAATGACACACAAAGTGACCTTGGAAAGGAATACTTATAATTCCTGATACAGAACACTTGATTATTTAGTTTTTGTTTAATGACTGGAAATCTTTAGTCCTTCAGAAAACACCGTATTTGTTGACAGATACTTCCTATTTAGCGATTTATTAGGTAACCAAACTATTTTTACATAATAAAATTAAAGCATTTTGCATGTTGGAAGTATTTCATTATGCACTATTTTTTAGGCCATTTATAGAGTATAAAACTTAGAAAAATATTGTCAATAGTTTCATTAAATTTAAATGACTCAAATGACAATACTTAGCACTATCATTACTTTTAAAATCTAAGTTTCTAAGTTTTATTTTTCGATCAATACAAAAATGATCTGGTTCATACTGTTAACTGCCAGAAAAACTTTCATGTTTAAAAAACTAAATACTCTTTGTTAAAGAAGAGCAGGTTAAAACAAATGGTTTCTGTGCTCTTATAAAAAAGATTCTATGTTGTAATTCTAAATCAAAATTCACAAATGGTGGCTGAAATTCTGTCAACTTTTAGCCCAATACAACACAAATTCACGGTTATTTTGCATAAACAATTCAAAATTAAATTTTATAATGGAAATGTCAACAAGTCATAACTACTACATTACTTCTGATGGGTTCCACTATACTTCAACCAGGCACAGCAGATGTGCACATCTGATAGACAGACTGCTTAGAAAATTAAAGCTATCAGCTATAAATAAGGAATACATAAATATGAACACAGCAATGCCAATGCATTAGAGCTGTTAAAAAAAAGATGTGATGTAAACACATCTGATAGTTCTCTCTGTAAGCCATTTTCCACTGATTTATAAAGCTATGGTTTTATAATTCTTTTAAAAGGGAAAATGTTTCTACACTGCTGCATGCAGTAATTTCATTGTACATTCTTGACTACATAGCAATCTTCAAATCCTCTTGAAGAGCTTGACATATCTCATCAGAATTTCTCCAGAAAGTCAGCTTGTCGTATTTTCAGCAGCCTAGAACAAGAAAGTAAGTTTCATTATAATAAAACCACAAAAAAAGAGACACCATGGAGATATATTTGTCAATACTGCATTGTCATTAACAAACAATTCCTCCTCCACATATCCTGAACCACTTTTATTAGGATAATGCAGTGGGGTTTTTACTTTTTGCAGTACATTAGGACTATTTCTTGAACTGACCGCTAGGCTAACAGTGGAAAATTGTTAAATCATCTTAAATAATACAGTTAAGGTAAAAATATACTGCTACTTGAAAAACTGACCCAACAGACCTTATCCACATACTGTACCCACCTTATCCAGTCTTTATTGGTTTGTCTGTTTCTGCATGTTTCATTATAGTGTGAAAAGGGGATTATGAATGAAAAAGACCTTTCTGTTAGAAAGCAGAGGAAAAAAAGGGCAAAAGGGAATAATGAACACATGGCTAATCCTGCCTCACCTATACCACCAACTATTATACTTTCCCTGATTATTCTGCAGAAATTTCCATGCATCATATAAGTCATCAGTAAATGATTTTGAAACATTTCTTTTTCCTTTTTAAAGATTTATTTATTTATTTTAGAGAGAAAGAGGGTGAGTATGCACACATGCGCTCAGGGAGGGGCAGAGGGAGAGAATCAGGCTCCTTGCTTAGCTTAGTTAGCTTAGTGCAGAGCCAGATGGAGGCTTGACCTCACAACACTGAGATCATGACCTGAGCTGAAATCAAGAGTCAGATGCTTAACTGACTGGGCCACCCAGGTGCCCCTTGATAACATATTTCTAAAAAATAAGGATTTAAATAATTTCTTAATGCCAAATATGAATATGATGATTTTAACTAAGTTTAATTTTAGAAACACACAGTAAACTTTTTTTTTGTTGTTGTTGTTTTAGTTTCTTTATTTCTTTTTTTTTTAATTTTTTATTGTTATGTTAATCACCATATATTACATCATTAGTTTTTGATGCAGTGTTCCATGATTCATTGTTTGTTCATAACACCCAGTGCACCATGCAAAACGTGCCCTCCTCAATACCCATCACCAGGCTAACCCATCCCCCCACCCCCCTACCCTACACACAGTAAACTTTTAAGTCATTTACGTTTCAACTTCTTACCTAAAACCTGCTTTTAAGTTTAGTCTAAGTTCAGAGGCCTTTCACGAAAATCCCTTAACATGCTGGGAAAATTGTAGTTAACTCAATCTGAAACATTCTCTTTGCAATCAGCAGAACCTACCTTGTTTGTCCATATAGCTGGCTATTCTAATTAGCCTTTCATTTCTTTGAGTTTATTATTCACAAGGATTAGAAACTAGTTTGAAAAAAATCTCCCTTGTTCTAAAAGATTTCTTATTTATTTCTACCCTTAAAGGTTCTTACATTAGCTTTAGGTGCATACCTTTAGGCACTCTGTCTTCTTCCTAACCCCATTCTCAGTATCATTTACTTCAAGGAACACGAAATAATATAAACAATTTTAGAATTTGTAAAAAATTAAAGTACCTTAACTGTAATGCAATTTGTCTAGTCCCATTCCATTTTTATACTAATTTTTGAGGTTCTCTTCCAAGAAAAAGACAATGGAACAAGTTTTTTCACCTAAATTAAGCAAGCCATCAATCTTGTATAGCATTCCTGTTATATGAATATAGTACTACTCTGTTTGAAAGGACAGCAATGGCATCCTAAAGAGCTCCAGTTACCAGACTGCCATTAGAGACTCCAAAATTTCATAAGCATTGGCCCTGGGAAAAACCAACTTTAGCAGCCTTGTCTTCCACACTTTGGTGTAAGTTTATTCCCTCCTTCAGGAGGATGGGTGGGGATATAAGACTTATTGAATCCTTTATTTCTACAGCTCCCATGTCCTCATGCCATACAAAACCTTCCTACAGTGAGGAGACACATCACTCCCAAGGTATTAGTGATCATACAGGACAGCTGCAAGAGAAAGGGCAAGGCTTATTAGTGCAAAGTGCATCAATAATAATCCAATTCGAGGCACCTTGGTACTAAAGTAGAAGATACAGGAAGTAGGTTTGCCCAGAATTTCTGAAATCACAATATGTAAATGATTGCTTATAATTAGCCCTGAGGAGGCAATACTAAAGTTCAGTGCTTGGTAGAACCATTCATAAAAATAAAGTCTATTTTACTTGTAAATGCATTCATTAAAAGGTATGGAAACTGAAAAAAAAAAACAAAAAACTGTTTTTAAAAACCGTGCCTTAATTAACAGTCCTACTTATGCTGTGGGAGATAAAAAAACGTGACACATCTACTGATGCGAAGAAACTGACCTGTGTGACACACAACCAACTACTTTTACTGTAAATGATTTAAACAATATACGAATCTGTGAGAAAGTAAAAACAATTAATGAAAAATTGTTGCAACTGTCTACATAGTTAACTAAAGAACAAAAGGAAAAACTGGATGTTTGTAGACCAACAGCTCCTTGCAACATTTCAGGATGTCTTTGATTTATATTTTACACATTCTAAAATAAAGGTAAGTATCATAGAAGGAAATTCTAATCACTAGGATTTCTAGGTAAAGGCAGTAAAACATAACAGGAACAGGTTTTCCTTACTCTATTATTAGTTCTGAAAGAAACAGACAAAAAATAAGAAAGAAATTAAGTAGCAGCAACCACCCAAAAAGGAGAAAACCACCATATGCTTTAAAAGTCTGTAAAGCATGGCCAAGGAAAACCAGGTATGGCTCACAGTGCAGCTCAGAGCTAACCAGCTCCCAATCCCAACCCAACAGCAGCAGGTAAGAGAGTAAGTAGACTTTATAATCTAAAGAGAAGCAACCTGTGAAAGGTTGTTCTTTAATCCATAAAGTTAAATGTAATATTTTTATTTTTAAAGTGGCATGCTACTATCTAGAATGGTGTTCACCAAATATTGCTGATTACCTCTTGGGTGGTTCTGAATGATTTGTTTCCTTCTTTGTATTTTGATATTTAAATATTTTAAAATTATGAGCATTTCTTAATAAAAATTACATAGAGATTTCAAAAATTCCTTTAAAGAAAAAAGTTCTAATTAACATTTTTCTTCTTTGCTAGACACTTTTCAGGATTCTCCTCTCCGCCTAGTTTTAATGAGAAACTGGCATACTGGTTATTGTTTATGGAGAAATATGTTTTAAGAGGCTGTGTGTGTGTGTGTGTGTGTCTGATCTTCCATTCAAAGGGCAATGCTTTCTGATTTTGTTTATCTTAAATATGGATTTTGCCTCCTATATCTCACTATGGTCCACTATTCTCACTATGGAATAACCAGCATGGTCAAAGCTAAAAAAGCAATTCTATCCTAATACCTTGGGTTTATTTTGCCTAAGAAAGTGCTATGCCAAACACTTGTCAGTTCCTCTTGTACCCCGTGGACTAGGTTATTTGTCTCTGGTTCCTTTATGGCACTCAAACTGCATTACAGTATGAAACCTTCATGCTCTTTTGCCTCCCTATTCTGTGTCAAATTCCAACATAAACAACAAAAATTCACACAGTTGTGGATGATGTTTATTAAATAAATTCTCTTCCACTAGAATTTCAGAAATTTACTGATCAAAGACTATGATACTGCATTTTATTTTTAACAGCAGGGTTATGAGAGAATACTAAACCAGGGAATGTTCCCATGCTACAGTCCATTAACTCACTTCTAATCACATTTCACCCTTTCTCAAAAAGCAGGCTCAGATATTTTTTAGAACTTATTGTAGGTGAAAACTTAGTAGGTAACAACTCTGAAGCCAGAGTCCAAGTTCAAATCTCAGCTCAACTACTTCTCAATAAGTCCTTGGGAGAAGCTGGCCACCATAAGCTTCAGTTTCCATAGCAGTAAACTACTAACAGCAGTACCAGTACACATGACTGCTGTGACTCAAAGTACTCATAAACATTAGTTATTCTTACGGTATTATTTTGTTATTTTTCTTTCTGTCATATGAAAGCACAGTTGTGAGTTTAAAAAGAAAGTCTGAATAGTTTTTTTAAAGATTTAAACATCTGACTAAAAGAAATTAGTAACTTACATGCACATTTAACAAAGGGTTCACATTCAGAATATTTATTTAAGACTACCAATACAAAAGGAAAAAGACACCCCAGAAAAAAAAAATGGGCAAACTACTTGAAAAGGAAATGGCCAAAAAAACATGTAAAAACACATTCAACCTCATTGGTTCTAGGAGAAATGCAAATAAAACCACATAAGAAACCCATACACACCCACCAAAATGACTAAAATTAAAAACACAATAAGTATTGGCATATATGTGGAGCAAGGAAGGGAAACTCGTATGCTGCTCATGGAAACAGAAACACAACTACTTTAGAAAAGTTTGGCATTATCTATTCAAGTTGAAGATAAACATATCCTAAAAACCAAGCAACGTGACTTGTAGATATACACCACCCAAAAGAAATGCATGCACATATGCATCATGAGACATGCACAACTAGGCTCATAGCAGCATACTCCTAATAGCTCCACGCTGGAAGCAATCAAATATCCATTCACAGTAGAAAGAATAACTGAATAGTAGTCTATCTGTGCAACAAAGCATGATTATTTCAGTGAATAGGACTGTATTACAGCTACACACAACATAAATGAACCTCCGGGGTGCCTGGGTTCTGCATGTAGAATCTGCTTGACATTCTCTTTCTCCCTCTTCCTCTGTCCCTCCTCCTGCTCCTGCATGCAGTTGCAGGCACTCTTACTCTCACTCAAATAAAGTCTTTTTTTTTTTTTTTAAAGATTTTTTTTATTTGACAGAGAGAGAGAGATAGCGAGAGCAGGAACACAAGCAGGGGGAGTGGAAGAAGGCGAAGCAGGCTTCCCGCTGAGCAGGGAGCCTGATGCGGGGCTCGATCCCAGGGCCCTGGGATCATGACCTGAGCCGAAGGCAGACGCTTAACGACTGAGCCACCCAGGCGCCCCTCAAATAAACTCAAACAAACAAACAAACGAACCTCACAATTCTGATCCTAAATGGAATCTAAAAATAAAAAATGAATAAACAAAAAGCAGAATCAGACCTATAAAAAGAGAAAAAAACTGATGATTTGCAGAGAGGGGGATGGACAAAATGGGTAAAGGGGAGAGGGAGAGATAGGCTTCCTTCCTTAGGCTGTGACTTATTCATTCTGTAACTGGAATAAAAGTCACAGCATAAGCAACAGTCAGTAATATTTTAATAGTGATGTCATGGGACAGACGGCAGCAAATCTGTTGGGGCAGCTGGTGGCTCAGTCAGTTAAGCGTCTGCCTTCAGCTCAGGTCATGATCTCAGGGTCCTGGGATTGAGCCCTGTGTCAGGCTCCCTGCTCAGTGGGGAGCCTGCTTTTCCCTCTACCCCTCCTCTCGCTGGCTCTCTCTAAAAAATAAATAAAAATCTTAAAAACGGGGCGCCTGGGTGGCTCAGTCGTTGGGCGTCTGCCTTCAGCTCAGGTCATGATCCGGGGGTCCTGGGATCGAGCTCCGCATCGGGCTCCCTGCTCGGCCGAGAGCCTGCTTCTCCCACTCCCCCTGCTTGTGTTCCCTCTCTGTCTCTCTCGCTGTCAAATAAATAAATAAAAAATCTTAAAAAAAAAAGTATAAACCTGTCAAGTCACTAAGTTGTACACCTGAAACTGATATAACACTCGTGTGTCAACTATACTCAAAAAAACAAAGAACACCCTCTCAAACATAATGTTAAATGAAGAACCTAGTAAAGACTGCTGTAAGATTCCAGTTTATATCACATTCAAAAATTTTACAAAATTAAACTGCAGTGTTTGAAGACCCATGTTTAGTCAGTAAAACTGTTAAAAATAAGAAAGCTTCTACCATAAAAATCAGGACAGTAGTTACTGGAAGGGGGAGCAGGAGAGGTTAGTGATAGGGGAGCTCAAGGGAACTTGTAGGGCTCAAGCAATGAGAATTGTACAGATATTCTCTTTATGATAAATTTTTGCTCTGGAAATATCTTCTGTTTACCTTTTTGTGTTTAAAGTTTTAAAAAATCTCAGAAACAACCCAAATCACTGGAATTTACTAGAGACTGACTAAATTTGAGATGGGTAAATTACATGTATTATATAGTTTTGTTTTCTCAAAGAAAGAAAAAAGCTAGAGAAAAGTCACTTTGTTCTTGGACAAGTTTTCAGAGGGACTAACTTGAATATCAGTATCTGTGGTGAGTTACTGTTATATAAACATGGAAATAAAATCACCCAAGATTTTAAACCACTGTACACAAGTCAGAAAGGGAATATACCTTTCCTGTTCCCAATGTGAGCAACTAAAAGTGGCGAGTTTGTATTTGAAAAAAGGTGGCCCTTGGGCCCATAGTGGCAGTGCAGCCAACTGGCCTCGGCAATCCCTTCCTCTCAGAGCTGCTGTTTGTCACTCTTCCCTTCTCTTGAAGGAGAAACACATGACCGCAGCTGCCCCAACAGATTTGCTGCCGTCTGGCCAGTTTCCTTCCTGCAGAATCCGGAAGTACAGAATCCCAGCCTTCCTTTATTTTGTCTGGGTCCTTTGCAGTCAAGTCCGAGATGGTGGACTACATTTATGAATCATACACCCAATCTCCTCACCAGAGCCACACTCTGGGCTTCCTCTCCAGAGCATGCTGTCTGGGTAAGGCTCAGAGTTTTCTAAATCAAGTGCTGGCTCCTTTTCGCTTACCAGTTCCTTGATTTCTCATTCCTCTTACATTTTATTATGAGTAGCAAGCAGAAATCTTGCTCCTGCACTTTCCACACTTTGCTAGGAAATTTCCTCAGCTAAATATCCAAGTTCATCACTTACAAGTTTTATTTTTCTTCCAATAATAAAACATAATTCAGTCAGGTGCTGTCACTTTGTAGCAAGGACAACCTTCCCTCCAGTGTTCAATAATATGTTCCTTATGAGATCTCGCCAGAAGCCCCTTTAAAGTCCATTATTTCCAGCAACATTCTGCTCATCATGACATATGTATTCTCTAGGACAATTAAAGCTTTCTCTACTGCTCTCCTCTCCTTTCTGAGCCCTTACCAGAATTGCCTTCAATGTCTATAGTTCCACCAACACTTTCTTCAAGGAAATCTGGGCCCTATTAAGTGTGTAAAATTTTCCAACTTCTACCCATCACCCAATTCCAAAGCCACTTCATGACTTGTAGGTCTTTGTTACAACAGCACCCCACTTTCTAATAGTGAAATCTGTATTAGCTTTCTACGGCTGCCATTACCAGGTACCATAAACTAGGTGGCTTGAAACAACAGAAATTTATTTTCTCATAGTTCTAAAGGCTTGAAGACCAAAATCAAGAAGTCAGAAGGCTCTAGCAGAAGATCCTTGCCTCTCCATAGTTTCTGATGGCTGCCAACAATCCTAGGCCACCACTGCACTCTCTGCCTCCACTGTCACAAGGCAGTGTCTGTGTCTCCACATGGTGTTCTCTTGGTGTTGCTCTGTCCAAATTTCCCTTGTCTTATAAGGACATCAGTCATTAATCCATTATGATCTTATCTCAACCTGATTATACTTACGGATACACAATTTCCAAATAAGGTCACATTCCCAGGTACTGGCCTTGAACTTACCTTTTTGGGCACAGACACAATTTTACTCACAACACAAGGAAAATTCTAAACACAGCTGGAGACTACTGAGAAGAGAAAATGTGGTCCATGATAGTAGCAATTTTGTAACTGAACATATGCTACTGAGATCCCGGTTTTCAGAATTTCTGATGGTGACAAAAGCTAGTTTAATCATATTTAAGTAGGATCTTTCACATAAACTCATTAACCATTTTCTAAACAAAAGCATCTTTCTTTAGAATGAACATACAGACCACTAACCTTTAGTGCTTCAGTGGCCTTGCGAAGTTCCTTAATAACGGACGATAAAGCTTCTGGGTTAATTCCTTGTTCACAAAGCCGAACACAAATAGACAGAGTTTCCATATCTAAGCCAGTATTCAAAATTCTTGAAATTTCCAGCAGAACTGAAAAAGACAGAGAAAACTTCAGAAACAATTACATTAAAAAATGTGTACCCAATACTGTTTTTAATTCATATAATATGCACAGTACCAAAGAACTAGCACAGCATCCCTAGATTTTGAAATTGTCATGCAATACTGTCTTGTTCTTACTTAGCCTAGAACCAGAAATACACTTATACCCTCCCTCCACGTAACTGCTTTTTATACTTTGATTTATATTCCACCACTCATTCAATATCTTAAATATATGCATCATAATCAGGATTTTTCAGAACATTTCCCCATTTTTAGTATGCTTTTACAATGTAATTTAGTCTCATGACATCCCATTTTATGAAAACACCATACATTACTTAACTACTCTACTATTTTAAGAGCTAAGTGGGTCTCATGTTTTCCCCACTGAAATAATCCTATGATAAGCATCTGTACATACTAACTTCATTTTATTTCATTAGGATAAATTCCTAAAAGTGGAACTGCTCAGTAATATACATATTTAAGGCTTTAAAAGTACTTAGAAACTTCTACAATTTGACAGGGTAATCATGTCCATTAACATCTAATAGTAAAAAAATGAAAGCCCATTTTTTAACTTTTATATAGTACTTCATTTTATTGTAGTTTATAAAAGTAGTTGACATAAGAAACACTAGCAAAGAGAAGCAAAGAATATAAATACACTGGCTTCATTAAATTTTGTTTTATGGTGGTTGTTTCCCAGAGCATGTTTAGAATTTGTTAAAGTCAATGGTCAACATGTTATCTATGGCTTCCTGTATTATTTTCCCTTGGCATTACTTAGTTATTCCCCATGCAAAGATTATATAACCACCCACCAGTATTCCCTTCCATCACTTCAAAGTTTATTTCCTGCCTGCCTACAAACATTTAAATACTTAACTCCCTGGAGTTTGGGTTGAAGACAGGATCTAACTTTACCTCCCTGAAATAAGCCCATTTCCTCAATACTATTTATTGAGTGCTCTCTCCTACTGCTCAATTAAGATGCCACCTTTAGGGCGCCTGGGTGGCTCAGTTGGTTGGGCGACTGCCTTTGGCTCAGGTCATGATCCTGGAGTTCCGGGATCGAGTTCTGCATCGGGCTCCCTGCTCAGCAGGGAGTCTGCTTCTCCCTCTGACCCTCCCCCCCTCATGCTCTATCTTATTCCCTCTCTCAAATAAATAAGTAAAATCTTAAAAAAAAAAAAAAAAGATGCCACCTTTATCACATAGTAAATTCCCATTTACCCATTTGTTGCATCTCTTTATCTTATGTCAGAACCACAATTTTAATTACTAACTTTTATCAACATAGAGAAGGTTGAAGACTTTGTTATCTTTCCTTTTCATAACCTCTTTCGTTCTTCCAGTGAACTTAAAAATCTTGATCAAGGAGCACCTGGGTGGCTCAGTTGGTTATGCATCAGACTCTTGACTTAGGTCGGGTTATGATCTCAGGGTTGTGAGATCTAGCCCTGTGTTTCCTCGCTGGGCATGAAGCCTTAAGATTCTGTGTCTCCTTCTCCTTCTGCCCCTCCCCCTGCCTCTTTCCCTCTCTAAAAAACTCTTGATCAATTCCAAATACAAATTCCGTTTGGATTCTGACTTGAATTGCATAAAAACTACAGTATTTTGGGATGAATGGACAAGTTAACAATATTGAGGGTTACATGAAGTCTAACTCCTTCAAAAAACTAACAGTATTCATCATGTTCATGAGATGGGCCCGAAACACCTTTTTGTACCAGACATTCATTTTCATCTCTAGAATTTCAAGGTTTTTTTTTTTTTAAACGTCTTTCGTGCCTATACTTAACTTTTTGAACACATGGAATATAGTTTTAATGTCCTTGTTTGCTAATTGAAACATCTGTGTCAGTTTCAGGTCTATTTCAACTGGCTGAATTTTTCTATCCTGGGTTGTATTTTTCAGCTTTGCATATTTAATAACTTTTAATTAGATGCTGGACATTGTAAATTTTACCCTGTTGGTTGTTATTTTTATATTTCTATACATGTTACTTTTAAAAATATTTTTACACATGTTCTTGGGCTTTGCAATGAGATGCAGTTATCTAAAAAGTTTGATCCTTTTGAGTCTTTTAAGATTTATATAGTCAGGATCAGAGCCCTGTTTGGTGTACGGCTAATTGTTCCTCATCACTGAGGTAAGACCCTCGTGAGTGCTCTACTAAATGCCTCGTGAATTATGAAGTTTTCCATTCTGGCTGGTAGATATAAGCCCTATTTTCAGCCTTCTGTGAGCACGGTGTACTGTTCCCTCTAGTTCTTTTGAATGCCTTTCCTAGCTTTGTGGGTACTTTCCTCACACACGTGCTAATCAATGCTCTGAATACTTGAGGGGGACCTTCCCACCGGTCTCCAGAATTCTCTCTAAACTCTTTCCTCTCACATATTCTGTCCTGCAAACTCTACCTGCTTTGGTCTCCCTGGACTCTAAACTCCTTTTGCTAACTTAGGGGGTCCATACTACCCCACAGTTGCATTGTGGCTGGGAACTCTCTGAAGGTACCAAGAACAGGCAACTATTGGGCTCTCTTCATTTACTGTCTCTGGGATCACTGTCCTTTACTACCCAATGTCCGTTGTTCTGTCTGGGTTGTTTTTGTTTTTTTTTTCTTCCAGGTAGGAGGGTAAATCCAGTTTTTGTTACTCCATCTTGGCTGGAAGCTGACAGCCCTTTCTGTTACATTTCTTCAGTTTTGATATGCCAACATACCAGTATTGCTCTTCAGTTGTATGCAGGCTGCAGTTCATGTTATCCGTTGAATTTATTTCAATAACTCTATTTTAAGATTTCAAATTCCCCCCCATTAATTGCTTGTCCTTATTTCATAGTTAAATGTTTTTTTATTTTTTTATTTTTTTTTTTTAAAGATTTTATTTATTTATTCATGAGAGACAGAGGGAGAGAGAGAGAGAGAGAGAAGCAGAGGGAGAAGCAGGCTCCCAAGGAGCAGGGAGCCCGATGCGGGACTCGATCCCAGGACCCTGGGATCATGACCTGAGCCGAAGGCAGACGCTTAACCATCTGAGCCACCCAGGCGCCCGTTAAATGTTTTTTTATAAAAAATGTTTTTTTATAACCACTCATTTTGTGGCTATTGTTTCTGCCCTTACCTATCTGAAGCTATATTCTTATCTTTGGCCATTTTTGAGATTTGCGTTTCCTGTTTCTTCAAGTATAAGCAAGCACCAAAGGAGAACGGTTAAGGGTCTGCTCTCTACAGCCAAAGTACCTGAGTTCAAATTTTACCTTCATTACTTAGTAGGCAAGGTAACCTTTCTTTTTTTTTTTTTTAAGACTTTATTTATTGTCAGGGAGAAAAAGAGAGAGCAGCAGGCAGAGGGAGAAGTAGGCTCCTGGCTGAGCAGGGAGCCAATGCGGGACTCGATCCCAGGACACTGGGATCATGACATGAGCCAAAGGCAGACACTTAACCGACTGAGCCATGCAGGTGTCCCGCAAGGTAACCTTTCTGCGAAATAGGGGTAATGGTACTTACTTTACAGGATCATTGTGAGAATTACAAGACACACTCAGAATGCTGTGTCCATTGGCATCTAGTGCTCAAAAAAAAGAGCTATTATTACTATCTTCTCTTTTTTCAATTTTCATGTGAGTTGTTTATGTTTTTCATCTACCCGGGGTACTTAGTGATTTCTGACTGGAAGCTCATCTTCAACAGGAGATTTTTCTTGATGTCTTGAACTGGTGAAGCATCCTTGGATGGGTAGTCTCACGCTGGCCTCGGCCCTTTGGAGCAGCCCTAGTGGAAGCATAGTGGCTCCAGAGCCACAGGACACATGGATGATACTTCCCAATCCCTGGCCGTGGCAGATGGCACATTCCTGGCCCCCAGCTTCACTCAGGCAGGGCAGCATGCTTCATCAGGTTCCATTCCCAGTCTCTTGCTGTGGTTCCCATCTGCTCCTCTTTGGGGAAAATCTCTTTCTAACCAGGAGATTTTCCTTTCTTGTTTCTGAACATGGCTGTGCTGATGATTGCATTTTAGTATTATTTCCTGTCATTTTTATATGTTTGGAGCAGAAAGTTTTAGCCAAGTGCTCCATCATCATCAATTCTGGTAGTGAATCACCAATCTCTTTAATTTTTAGTTTTGTCTTCATAATTGCATTCAATTTGCTTTGGTATATTCTAGGTGATCAGTGCAAATATTCTAGAATATTACCTATTTTTATTTTGTAGCCAGCCACCTTAACAAATTCTACTGAAGTTTTTCAGTTAATTCTCTTGTTTTCTAGTTAGATAATCATTTTACCTACAAATAGTAATTTCATGTCCTTCCTAACAGACTTTTCCTTTTCTTATCCTGCATTATTTGCTTAAACTTTCGTATCAGTGGTTAAAAAAAAAAAAATTGAGTGAAAGCAAGTGTTTCTAATTTTATTTGGAATGCTTTTAACACTAGCGTTAAGGATGACGGTAATCTCATATAGCTATCCTTGGCGTGTTAACAATGTACTGTTTTCCTTTGCTAAGACTTTAAAATTAGGGAAAAAGTGCTGTGTCTTATAAATACCTTTTCATCAAACACTGAAATAACCAGGCAGCTTTTTCCCTTTGACATAGTGAGAGAATACATTATATTGACAGACTATATTCATAGCTGAAGAACAGTGAGCTTGGGAAATCCCTACTTTTATAGTAGCAGTTAGCAAACTTGCTCATTATCTGGAAGTAGATGTTACCTCATCCCTCATGTTGTTCATTGTAAATACACCCCTGAGAAACAGCAGGAAGAAAGAGCAGTCAGGGTCTTGCTTTCTTGGCCTACTGAGCAAGAATGTACAGGTATGCTCAGGGCTCACAGGCTGCATCTTCCAACAGTGACACTGCATGACTTCTGACACTAGACTTAAAAAGGTAATATAGCTTCCTCCTGGCTCTCTCTTGAGGCACTCGCCCTTGCAACCCAGCCACCAAGTGGGAAGAAACCCACATGTTCTAGACA